AAGGGTGAGACCTGACATTTCCTCCTAACGCTTAGCTTGGTGGAAGCTGCTCTCCCTGTTTCTTGGTGTGAAGTGCTGATTGCTGGAAGCAGCCAAACAAAACCACAGAGGGTTAAGGAGCCTTCTGGGGGAGAAGAAATCACAACTAATTTTTGTGTAGGATAAGCATTACCACATCTCTCATGGATTGAAGTAGAAATACCTGAATCATGCATGACTTCCACCAGAAACCCCCATGGGCTCTCTTTGGTTATGAGAGCTTGTGGGCTGAAGGCCTTGCTTCAGGAATCCCAATGAGCCACTTGTCCTGATACGCCAATTCAAGACCAGTAACGGTGACAAAGGAAAGGAGATCTCGTCAATGTTTTCACTGGAAAGAGGAATAAAGGTGTCCAGACTCACCCTAGAGTCCATTTTCAGAGGACGGACATGAGGTTTAGGTCTGAATTGAGGAAAAATTGGGGCAGAGGGCAAGAGGCTTGCATAATGAATCAATCTTGGTCAAGGTTTGGTCTGGTTGCCTGGGTTCTGGTTGTACAAGTAGGATAAGAAAATAGTTTCTCTTTTAGGCTTCTCTTAAGGTGATTCTCTGCAGAGTGCTACCCCCTCATCATTTATAATTACCCTCATTTGAGGAGCGATCTTGAGGCTCATGTTCACCTGTGCTTAGTGTGGAGGAACAGTCCTTTGTCGTAGAGATGTTTATCAATGTGTCCTGTTGTTCCTGGAACCCAAAGTAACTGCAGCGTAGGACAATGACTGGAGCACGTTTTGTAGTACCGAAGTGGGGTATTGTAAAAGCTGACAGTAATATGACTAAAGGGTATATATATATATATATATATATATATATATATATATACACATATATACATATACATACATATATATATGAAAACAGAGAGGACAGGATTGACCCTGTTCTCAGTGGGCCCAAGGACGAAATCAGTGCTTTTTAAACAAAGTTTCTAAATGCCTGTTGTACTCCTAAGGGAGAAGCATGGCAGCTGGGAGGGGGACATGGAATGGTGGCTCGAGCGTTCCCTTGCTCACGTGACTAAGGCTGAAATACCCTCCCAGCCCACATGCTCCAGAAGCCTAAGGAAGCATGCAATGTTCTTATCTCAGACCAACATTGGTGACACTAACTTCAGCCTTTGGGAGTCTGGATATTTATTATCAGTTTAGAAGATTGTATGAAGCCTTCAGATTTCAGAAGCAACACTGCTGGCAGCAACCGGGCAGTGAGAGTCAGCTATACATGCACACCCGAGTGGAGGGAAGGGTTAATGTGATCTCTAAGTCTAATGCAACTGGTACCCTCTGTAAAAAGAGGAAACACGAAGACACGAAGAGGAAGGCCTGCTAAGCGAAGCAGAGACCATTGTGAGGGGCCTGCAAGCCAAGGGATGCCAGCAACCCAGGAGCAAGGCAGAGACTGTGGACAGATCATGGCTTGAAGCCTCCAGAAGGAAGTGACCTGCCTACACCCCAGTTCCCAGAACTTCAGGAGAATATGTTCATGGATTTTGTTTTTTAATCAAGTCTGTGATAGTTTGTAAAGCAGCTCAAACAGCGATTTGATTTGAGCATGTGTGGTTCAAGAGACTAGTCTGGGAAAATAAATTATGTGACTCTTACCTGAATCCTCAAGTTGTAAGGCAAGTTACACTGGTTAGGCTCCCTACAGGTGTCCCGCTTCTTATGATGAGTCAGGAAAATGCTAAACTAATGGCATCTTGCCATATTTCTGTGGCTCAGCTTAAAACGCGTGACTTTGTGTGCAGTTAAAATATGAAGGTCTCTAGATAGCTTCACCTCTAGTCAGACCGACAGGCCAGCACTGGCCTGGAAAGCCGCGTGGTCCTTCACACCAACCTGGATTAGGCATTGAGGATGCTTTTTCACCAAGTGCACGCATGGCACAGAATGGGCAGAGAAGACAAGTCTGCTAGGAATCCACAGTCCAGGTCAGGACAGCAGGCACGGTGAGCCTGGAGCCCACATTAGGGAGAGTAATGTAAAGTTAAACTTCAGTTGTAAAACAAAACAAAACATTGTAAGGATGAACAGAGGATCTGGCTTGAGAGTAAATTGTGTGGGCAAAGGTTGGGAGTTTTGCAGCTGACGCTAACTCAAATAGGTTGTGGTGACTCAAAAAGGTAACCAAGGCAACTGTTGACAGAGATGCGCTAGTAACACCAGCTCACTAAACAAGTTTCTTACCCTAGGAAGAATGATCGTGATTCAGGTCGCTAAAGTATTTAGTGGGAAAATCATATGATGAGTACTAGCTGATATGCAGCAGAGATGCAGGGTGTCCTGTGAGGAGGTTCCGGGAAAATGCCGAGCTCATATTAAATATGGAATGCGGAGTCTCAAGTTTCCAAGCTGTTCCTTCACAGGAGTGCCTTTCCTCACGGAGACAGCTACATAGGCACCAGCAGAGGAGTTGGAGGGGCAGAAATGGGTCAGCAGGCGAGCGGCCGTGGGCCTTGCCATCGCGGTGATCTAGCAAACAAGAGGTGTGACAGTGCCTGGTGCCTGCCCCACCACACAATGCCGCTCTCTTACCTCCCAAATCTTCCAGAAAGGTCTTGGCTGGGAAATGTCGGCTCCAAACTCTATAAAGAAGGGAAGTCTGGAAATTGTGCTTTTAAAAATAATATATATTTTCTTTGAGCCAGGGTCTCTCCATGTATCCTGGCTATCTTGCAGCTTACTGCATAGACCAGGCTGACCTCAAACTCACAGACATTTGCCTGCCTCTGCCTCCCAAGTGTTAGTATTAAAGGTGTGCATGACATTCATTTAAAAGCAGTATTTTTAATAAATAAAGATTTATTTTAGTTTTAGTTCTCTGTGTATGCATGTATGTGTGTGTGCGTGCGTGCGTGTGTGTGTGTGTGTGTGTGTGTGTGTGTGTGTGTGTGCGCACATGAGTGCCGGTGTCTGGGGAGGAAAGAAGAGGGCATCAGATCCCCTGGAACTGGAGTTATAGGTGTTGCGAGCCCCTGGTGTGGGTGCTGGGAATCAAACTTAGGTCGGTCCTCTTCAAGAGTAGCACGTGTTCTCAAGTGCTGAGCTATCTCTGTAGCTCCAGTAATACCTCTTATTCTTTGAAAGTTGCATGCATTTATATAATACAGACTGATCATAGCCATCCACCACTATCCCCCTGCAGCTCCTAGCGCCACAATCCCACCCCCCTCCGAACTTCATGTCTTCTTTTTTTATTATTATTAATAGCATCTTGAGTCCAGTCAGTGCTGCGGATATGTGCACGGGTCCATGGCCATCCACTGGGGTATGAGCAACCTTTTTAGTGGCCATGTCCCCTAAGGAGACTCTCCTTTTTCTTCTTAGTGATTATCTACTGCCAGTAGCTCATCTGATAAGGGTGAGGCCTCGGAGGCTCCACCCTCTTTCATGCTGGAACTTTGAGCGTCTTGATTCTGTACAGGTCTTAGGCAGGAACCCAGGCCTATGGGTTGGTGAGTGCAACAGCCACGTCATGTTCAGAAGTCAGCCCTGCACAGCTCTCCGCTGGCTCTTACTTTCTTTCTAGCCTCTCTTCCTCAAAGCTCCCTGAGGGTGGGGTGTTAGTATAGATGACCCAACCATAACTGAGCACTTGGAATTATTTAAACTTGGTGATTTGACCAGTTATCAGCTTCTGGATTAAATACTACCTACTGCAAAAAGTTTCTTTGCCCAAAGTTGAGAGCAGCGCAGTTCTATAGGTATAAACACAAAGATTTAGAGAGCAGTTTGACAGTGTGAGCATTTAACACGACAACAACAGTAGCCCCACCCTCTCCCCCAGGCCTACATCTAACGCAGCATCTGAAAGACGAGTTTTTAAAAATTTCATTGAGCTGGGGGTGGGGCAGGGTGTGGCTTAGCGAGCAAGTGAATGTTTTGCTTGAGTTTGCTCTTCATCACCACACACACACAATTCATTTTCATTTTAAATATCAGATTAAAACTTTTTTTTGCACAAATTTCCCTTTCACTGAGTTTCCCCAAATGTTAACGTCTTACAAAACTGTAAGCCAGGGACTCAACTTTGAATACTATTAGCTCATTTATAAGTTGCATTCAAATTAAGTCAATTGTCCCTAATCACCCTTTTCTGGCCCAGAATCTTATTTAACTCAGATGCTTATATAGCATTTAGCTTTCAGGTCTTTTTAGGCTTCCGCAACCTAGGACAGCTCATTTATCTTCTGGAGAAAACCAAACACAAACAAAACAAAAAGCTCTTCAAGAATAAATACATTAAGCCAGAAAATGTTAGAGTAGTGAGACTCTGGAAAGCAAAGACCCAGAAGTGCCACTGTTAGCATTGCCAGCCTGGAGGAAAGCCTCGGAAGGATGCATTCATTGTTTTCAAAGCAGCTTCCACATTGGATGACTTTATGCAGAAGATGGAGAAGACTAATTTTTTGTTGTTGTTGTTTCCCAAGCTGTTGAAAGCACAAGAAATAAGTAAATGCAGCCTAGGAAGAGCTTAGCTTGGTACTAGACAGGACATCGGATTGACTGGAAATGACTCTCTGAGGCCTTGGCCTTGTGTTATTTTGAGCTGGATCAGGACTGACAGACAGACCTGCAAAGCAAGAAGCCAGGTAGAGGCAGATCAGGGATAGAGCAGCTGTCCAGTATCACATGGCTTGGGGCGTTTCCAGCCCAGAGCAGAGAGCAGAAGATTCAGACTCTCAGTTGAAGAAGGTTGAAGAGCTAGCAACTAGAGCAGGGGACACCTCTGCAAACAGGTCAACTGCTGAAGTGACTTCTTCTGCTGTGTGCTTCTGCCATGGTGTGCTGCCTTGCCCCAGGCCCAAGAATAGCATGTTAAATGACCATGGACAGATAGGTACATCTGAAGTAGTGAGCTACTCTGTTAAAGTTTATTGTATCTGCTTCCCAAACACACAGCCTATTGCTGTTGCCTTTGGTCCCCCCCTCCCCCCCCGCCAGAGGTAGATCAGCCCCTGTTGTTGAAGACACCGCAGAAACAGTCCAGATGCCCCTGTGCTGGACCTGGTCTGAATGACCCCTCCCTTCAGACTAGCTTTCATGGTACCAGAAGGTGCATGCAAGTTTCCAAAGGAGGCAACTAATAGGCTAACCCAGCTTTGATGCCTATGAACCACATCAACAACCAGCACGGTGTAAAAACCCCACAGAGGTGCAGTAGTCACACACATATCTTGGCAGTAACCAATGGCTAAGTGGACTTAAGACCTGCCCAACAAGAGATACATGTCTGGTACTGGAAACCTCGCTAACTTTTAAGTGCTTATGGCCCATGGTGATTGGTGGAGAATCTACAGCCACTAACTTGCTAAACCAGCATAATCCCTAACAGCAATCTGTAAACGTTTGTCCTTGTGCCCACAGATAAGTGCAACCTTCATCCCTCATCAAGGGAAGTTCTCTTTTCAATAGACAGAGACCATTGCGGAAAACCTCAACCAGTTAGTATAAAAAGGTGTAAAGCCCATTCGTCCCCAGTGGATACATTTACAAAACACTCCCGGACCTGAGGACCAGGGAACGTTGCAGAAGACAGGGGGAAAGACTGTGAGAACCAGAGGATCATTTTGATGTGAGATTGTGTCTCCTACTGACACCAGAAGCTGTTCCCATGAAGCTTCACCAACATGTCTGCCCATAAGCTTGCTGAACAAGGAGGACTCCAATGAACATACCGAAGGGACAGGAAAGCCGATGAAGTCACAGCCCTACACAAAAAAACCATAGGCGCCAGGTAAGGCTGGGAGGGGGAGAGGTGGTTCTCCCTAGGAAGAACACAGCAAATGGCTGTCCAGTGCCAAAAAGTCAGTGCTGAAAGCACACAAATGAGTAACATTATGTAGGCTCAACAGGTTATGTTTGGAAGTATTTATGTGTATGCAAATAGATATATGCATGCGATAACAATTAAAAAGAGGCTGTAAATTTTGAAGGAGAGCAAATCTCAGTAAAAGCCACACACAGTCACCTTTACCTGTCCTTAGAAATGCGGCTAGACCCACCTCCCCCAATGCTGGTGGGCATTATGTGTCAAAAGAAACAAACGCTTTCTCCTTCAGAATTTCACAATCCAGGAGGCTGTTACAAACTCAGAATGTGCCCTTTCGGGAGCCTGCTGTCAGAATGGTGGCGCTTCCTATTTAAGAAGGGAACTTAGGAGGCTGCTTGTTTCCAGTCCTTTCTCTCACCTTGTTTCCCTCCTGCCTCCCTCCCCAAATAAAAACAAGAAACAGTAAAAAAAAAAAATTTTTTTTTTTGAAGGAGAGTGGGAGAGTATTTGGGAGGGTTCAGAGGGAGGAAAGGGAAGGGAGAGAGGTTTTGATTAAAATACAAACTCAAAAATAAACAAAAAAATCGTCTCTATTACTTTGTTCTAGTATCAGAGGGCTGATGAATAAATAAGGAATAAGTAAGCTTTTGTTTAAGTTTTTATTTTTAGATGCACTTCAGACTTCACATGACCTGAAAGACAGTGTTAGGATTAGAATCAGATTCTATGGAATTAAACCAATAGATAGCGACTGTTGGTTAAAGGAAAAGGATCAATATTCCCATCCTTTTCACTTTTTTGAACTTCAGTTACAAGATCCTTTCAGATGAGCTAGTATGCATGAGAACCACTGGAAGAAATCCATCAGAGCAAAAAAAAAGTCATAAGGGAGGGAAATGAAGAGAAGGAAGGAGGGAGGGAGAGAAGGAGGGGCTTGTTTTTTTTTTTTTTATTTTTCTGTTCTTTTTCCCTGGCACTGGGGATCAAACAGAGCATTGCACACGCTAGGCGAGTCTGCTACCATTCAGCTATATCTCCACCCTTCAAAAACCTGCTTCTCATCCTTTTTCTTCCCTTCCTACCCCATAGCTCTATCATTTTTATTTCGTTAACAAAATTAATACATTTTTAAAACTCATTTTGAACCCTGAACTCATTATACATCCCAGGCAGGCCTTGAATTTACACCCTTTCTGCCTCAGCCTATTGGATTTTTGGGATTGATTGTGGACGCCACCGCACCCATATGAGGGGGTGTGATGGGGGTGGCCTTTGTCAGCACCCAGGCCAGCTGCCCTAACAAAGTGTGTGCACTCCTGGCAGGAGACTTCTGGGCTGAGCTCAGCGCTGCACCCTGGCAGTCCTCCCCTGGAAAACCACCAAGACCCACACAGAAGTCCACAGTCCAGAGGACCATGGCTCCGGAGAGCTGGGGAGACCAGCGGAGATCAACAGCAATGACAACAGAGCATCCAAGTTCCAGGAATCGCTCAGCCCTCGTCGCCACCTGGCGTGGTTGATGTCCCTGGGTATAATTTGGAGGCGTTAAGATTTCTTTCTCAGCAGGGCCCTCCAGAGGTTTAAAGGCTAAAATGAGTGGACACTGGACAAGAGTCTCTGTCAGTGAGGAGAAGTGCCTGTTCAAGAGGTCATGCCCGCCAGCGCTTTCACAGCCTCAGGTGGCTGGCCAAGCATCACCTCCCAGTCACTGCCTCTTTGATCTCAGGTAGGAGAAGCTGTTGACAGAACTATCAGTCATCAGCTATTGTCCTGCACTAGATGGTAGCATTCCTTGATTTTTTTTTTCCCCCTGTGAGAGAGGGTTTCTCTGTGTAGCCCTGGCTGTCCTGGAACTTGCTCGATACCCTCGGCTGGCCTCAAACTCACAGAGATCTGCCTGCCTCTGCCACCCCCCAAGAGCTGGGATTAAAGGCGTGTGCTACTACTGCTAGGCTTGATATGTTTTGTTTTTTAACTTAATGTTTCTGATCTTAAAATTACAAAATAGCGTCTGGTGTGGTGGCTCACTTCTGTAATCCCAGTACTCAAGAGGTTGAGGCAGGAGGATTTAAAAGTGTGTTTAAAGCCAGCCTGGGTTAGCAAACAGTGTGTCACCTAATCTCCAAAACCAAAATAGAAACAAAGGAACAGAACCCTATAAAATTGGCTAGAATAAGATATCATGTATCAGCACAAAGCAAGGCCTGGCCCAGAAACTTAGTTTCCTCTTCCTTTCCTCAGATCTTCAGTGGTTGCGTGCAGGGAGATAGTCAACACACAGCTAAGACTACGGCTTAAGCTTCCTGAGAACTTAGTTTCAGCCGGGCACCGTGCTGTGGTTCTTTTCGCTGGTGGCGGTTGGCCGATTCCCTCGATCCCTACGGAGTCCTCTGGCGTATGCATAGATACTGCCACTACTTACAAAAAGGAGCAAGCACAGAGAGTAGAAGTGCACAGGCCCGCAGAGCCGGGGCACACAAGAGGCAGTGTTCAGCTCCCACGGTCCAGTCCCGGAGGCCCTGCTCCCAAGTGTTCTGCGGTAGAGTCGTTACCTCTGTGGACACAAACCCAATCCCCGCTCAGCCTGAAAGTGGGTAATAGCAATGAAATATGGGTTACCTCTGGTTAGCGCAAGACCGTGGCCAGATGGGACTTAGTTCCATCTGCTTTCCGAGTCAGGGGTAATTTGATCTTTTAATTTAATATCACTAAACGGCCACGTGCAAGAAAGGGTTGTGTGTGACCAGATTAACATAATACTATGTGTCATGGATGGACATTAGCTTGAGTTCAGCTGGATGTAACATTTTAGGCCAAATATGTCAAAGGAGGAAAGATCCTTTTAGAGCGCAATGCTTGGAAACTAACGTTTCAAGAGTTGCAGTGAAAAGTAAGGATTTCTCGAGACAAAGGAGCTTAGGAATGATTTACAGTGACCCCGAATGATCAGGGTGAGATGGGGAAGCAGCTGGTACTAAAGTGGAAGATGGAGGTACTGAGCTGCATGGAAATAGGGGTTGCCATGGAAGCCTACCATGCTGGGCAAGGCGGTTCAGAAACACAAGGGACGGCAGAGTCCAGGCCAAGGATGTAGATGGGCCAGATTCTACTTGGAGAGCCCTGCGTGGCTGACAGGATGTGTCCAAGTTGTCACCCAAACAGGGGTGAGCTACACTGAATTTCTGCTTCAATCAATGGCCACATATTTCTTCCTTGGCAAGAGCCAGGACACAGAGATGAGATCACAGCTGTCTCAGGAAGTTCATGTGCCTTCTGGGACAGATTGGCGGGCATGTGATTGCAATGCTGCATAATGATTATTTTTATAGACTTGGCTGGAATGTGGCTTGAAAGAGCAAAGAGGAAGCTGGTCCAATACCGAGAAGGTGCAGTCTAAACTACAGCTTGGAGAAGAGCATGTTTTCTAAGTGGATGGCCGTGGAGTGCTATCTCTCTGGACAGAGCGAGCTTCATTTGCAGGAAGCTGAATCAGAGCTAGGTAGGTGTGGCTGGGAAAGTGCGATGTTGGCGTGATACTGGAGGGCTTGAGCGGGAACATGTGATGGAGGAAGGCGGGCAGAACATGAGTTCAGTTTAAGGATTTAGTTTGTCCTGAAGGCTCTACTTGCCTGTGGTGGCTTGCAAAGGTCTCCTGCTAGGGGACTATGCTCCAGGACAGTGTTTTTCAGCACTGTCCCCCGAGGGTCATAGGTTCCAAGACCCCCAGTGAATACTACAGGTTGATCAGGTTCCTTACATAGAATGACACAGATTTGCATTTCATGCATGCACATCCTTCCAGACACTTTTAGTCCCCTTTCAGTCACCTATAATTCCCCAATGCAGCTAAATGCTATGCAGCTAAATGCTATGCAGCTAAATGCTATGCAGCTAAATGCTATGCAGCTAAATGCTATGCAGCTAATTGCTCCACTGTACTATTTAGGAAACAGCAGTAAGAATAAAAGTCGGTGTGTGTTCGGTACAGATGCATGTTTTTCTTTCTCTTATTCACAATTGATTAAATACATAGGTATAGAACCTATAGAAACAGGTGCTGCCCTATTTGTCAAAATCCAGATCACAACCCATTAGCAGGTAATCAAATCAATTTTCTTGAGCATTGCCTTGGTGGGGTTGGGGACCTTCTTTTTGTCTTTTCCAATCTGTCATGGACTGATTCTTCTGTAAAATAAAATAAAACAGTAACAGGGAACTAGAGAAAAGGGTCACACACTTAGATATTACAATACTGTTAAATTCTGTAAGTTTCTAAAGTGTCCTTTGTTTTCTAACAGTTTCTTTGGGATGTAATCAACAGACTGTACAATTTACCCAACTAGTGTTTATGATTCAATGATTCTTAGTACATTCATTCATACATACATTATACTACAATCAATTCTAGAACATTTCCATTCCTCCTAAAACAAACTTTCTACCCATTATGAGTTAATCTCTTTCCCTCCAGGCTCCTGTCCCCCAAGTCCTAGGCGATCACTAACCTATTTTCTGTCACTTCACATAAATGGGATAGCTCAATATGTGGTCTTTTATGACTGACTTTTCCCCTTTATACATCTTTATTATTATTGATTTTCCATACATCCTGACCACAGTTTCCCTTCCTCCACTCCTCCAGTCCCCCCCCATTTCTTCTCTCCCCCAAATCCACTCCTCCTTCATTTCCCTTCAGAAAGAACAAGCCTCCCTGATCTTTTTTTTATCATAATTTATATTTCAAGTAAATTCATACTAATGCTTGAAAGAAATTCGAATGAATCCCAAATAAGGGCCATTTCCAAAGATCTCAATGGAACTGCTCTGAGTTATCATAAAGCTAATCGACTATCTGAAAGCATAGTCAATTATTGCCACCATCAGGACGGGTGAGTGGTTAGGGCAGGACAATTTCAGCATAGCACTTGGCATCCATACCGCCAGATTCCGGACACACCCAGCCCCAAGCCATGAGGGCGGATTGGAGGTCTCCATTGCCTGGAAATGGCAATTGAAATGGGAAATGTAGATAGGATTGAATGTACAGGACTTCCCCAAGTCTCCAACTTCCTGAAGACGCTCAAGCAGAGGTGTACACTGTGAGGGCCCTGCCTTATCTCCCTGGTGCTTCCAGAGGCCTCTGCAGTGTCGAGCATGGTGCAGATCTTCTTTGTTGACATCCTCGGTCCCTTTGGAACAGGCAACCACCTTCCCACAGGAATGCAGGAGAAAAAGAACCAAGCACCACCTTTCCCAGTACATGTGGTGATTTCCTGTAGACCAGAGCCTAGCAACAGACAGCTTGAATCCTCTCAGCATTCCCTTCAAACACATCTTTTTCGGAATCTCAGCCTCGGTGGCGTCCTCAGTAACAAGCAACCTGTGGTCCTGTTACAGCCAAGACACGGGAAAAGCTCCATAGGCCAACTGGCCCCACCTTGCTCCTGAGTAATCCTGAGAAACCGCCTCCCTTCCTATCCTCCTTCCCCTCCCCCCCCCCCCCCCGCCCCCCCCCCCCCCCCCCCCCCGTGCTGTCTGCCAAATGCAGACTGTTCCCAAGGCTGTGGAAACTGCACAGCAGGATCTTGCTGCCCCCATCTACTTTCTGTTCACTCACACAATGAAAGATCTTTAGTCAGGACAGGTGGGCCCAGAGAAGCTTCTCTTCAGCAGAAGGAAGCCAAGGAGGAAATCAGACAGAAGTGGCAGATGTTTCCCAGTGCCTCCATGCTGGGGACTGCGAGCCCTAGGAAGGCAGAGGCAGGAGGATCTCAGTGAGTTCAGCATAAGCCTGACCTACAAAGACAGTTCCAGAACAGCCAGGACTGTTACACAGAGAAACCCTTGAAAAACTAAAACAGAACAAAATTAATATGAATGAAATACAGATTGTGCAAGGCAAAGCACACTCTGAGGGCCAAACCAGTCTGCGGGCATTCAGCACATGTTCAGAGACTGGGCCCACTCAGGCCCTGCAGGCAGCTGTCAGAAAGTGGACGCTGCAGGCATCGCTCTGCTGCTGTATGGAAGCAGCATGCAGGAAAGAAGGCAGAGGAGGTCAAGATGGGAGCAAGGGGTGGAGAAGGAGCTGGCGTTGGCACCCATAGGAATGGCAGAGGCAAGTCCTAGAAGAGGGGAAGTTGAGGCTGACTCCTGGGATGGGAGGGGGCACTCCTGGACTGTAGAAGAGAAGATGTCCACACCGTGAGCAAGGCTCACCAGGGTACCAGGAAGGAGCCAGCAAACACACCTATGGGCTTCTAGTTCAAAGTCATGTTTCTCATGACCTGGAGAAGCACTGCAGCCTGGGCTCCCAGGAGCTCCCTAGAGCTCGCCCCAAACAGGCCCTGGGTACCAGAACTCGCCGATTGTTAGAAAAATAACAGGTTCAGCCCAAGTTTGAGAAGGTCCATGGCTGGCTAGTCATGTGCACCAAGGCAGGGAAGATTTTCCTTGATGCGTACGAAGACGAAACCCCAAAATGCACATCTGCCCATAGCAAGGGTCATACCCTGTTCAATTTCAGTGGCTAAGCAGGTGCACCCACTGATTCTCTGATTTCCTTTGTCTAAGCAGGGACTCAGAAGTTTGCAGGTGTCTGTTCTTTCTAATGAGTAATAATCTCCGATTCCTGACGCCCTCCTCGCACAGGGCCTAGTGTCTCCTCTGCCTCCTCGGCTCACTGGCCCACAGGCCACTTACTGTGCTAACCACGTGGTCTGGCTCTGCAGCCCTGGTGGCACAGTCTCCAAAACTCATCGGTCTGGTAGTGTGGGTCCATGCCTCTATTTTTATTACTGACTAGCATTCCACTGTGTAGATGCACTACACTTGGCTTATCTGGCTGATGGACCTGTGATCTGTGTTCTCTTGTTGGCTATTATGAGTAATGCCCTTATGAATACTGACAAAGGGGTTCGGGGTGAAAAGACAGACTCCTTTCTCTTGGGTGTTACACCCAGGAGTGGAACCGATGGGTCATATGAGAACTCTATCTTTATCTTTTTGAGGAACTTCTAGACTGGTTTCCACAGAATCTGCACCACTTACATTCCATCAGCAGGATGGACTTTCTAATTTCTCTGTATTCTTGTCAACACTTGCTATTATCCGTGGGTTTATTTTTGCTGTACTGTGGTTTGGGTTTCCATTTCCCTGGTGATTAATGATTCATGTGCTCCACCCCCACTCTCCATCCTGCTCTTACCCCTTCCCTGACTGGTCGTAGGCAGCTTAGCCACCATCATCTGAGCAGCTGCAAAGTGTGAATGTGTCACACAGAGGAAGGCTGAGTGTCAGTTCATGAGCTTTAGCCAGTGTTAGTCAACTTCCTACTGCTGTAACGCATACTAGAGATAAGTAACACAAAGCAAAAGGGCTTATTTGGCCTTTGGCAGACATGAAAATGGAGAGCGGAATACTGATTATCTAGAGATGGGAGGGTGGCCTGGAGGAAAATGAATATTCCCTGCTAATAGGAGGAAAGTTTATTTCAGGCAGGATAAAAGTGTTCTAGAATCCACTGCGGTAATGGCTACATGATCCCGTGAACACACTGATTAACAGTTTGAAGATGTCTCGTCTGTTGCTCACCAGATGAGCCCATTGCCTTTGGGCTTATGGTGAGGCAGTCTACCACAATGGAAATATGTGATGGAGTAAGACCACTTCCCTCATGGCCAGGAAGAGAGAGAAAGGTACATCAGCTTGAATGTAGTGTTCATAAACTCAAAGTCACCAATAATATGTTGGTGTCACATTAAGGGAAAGAAATTAAAAGCACTTCCACTTGGATTCACTTAACCAAGTGTGAACACAGCCTTAGATTCTCTGCTCTCTCCCACTGTGTCTTCTGCTGTCTCCGATCTGTCTGTTGTATGGGTCTGAGTCTGTGTCTGCCAGAAAGTGTCTCGTGCCTGTCCCTGTGTCTGTCCGTATATGCCTCCAACAAAGGGCTCTGCTCTGTATTTGCTGAACGACACAGAAAACATCACATGGGGAGGGAATGAAGAATACGTTACAGAAATCTTAACAGTCTTTCACGGGATTAAATCACTGACTCCAGCTGATCCCAACCAACCCAGATAATAAATAAACAAACAAAAATAAATAAATAAATAAACAAACACCATTACAAAATGTCCAAATGCTGTGCCCATCATTTATGGGAGATATTTGCTTCTAAGGTCGCTTTTCAAGCTCTATGTTGTCTCGGCAATAACTATGATAGCACACACACAGACACACGTGCATTGCTCTCTGGACCAGAGGCATATATGGAACAGCACATAGTCTAAGATTGCTGCTCTGCTAAGATTGGCTTAGATTGTGAAAGCTCATCACACGGGAAATCCCGAGTAAGTAAGGTTGGTTGATAATTGTCCTCTTCAGGTTAAATAAACAGGAACACAGGGGTCTTAAGCGTCGAGTGACTTCCGTGTATATTTCTCTGCAGTCCCTTTGAATGTAACAACGATCTTCGTAATAGTACATCACTGCAGACGCTGACTGGAGGTCACATTCCAATGACACGAAGACTTCTCACGGGACCCATCTCTTCAAGTTTCTGCTCTGGCCCAGTAGTGCCAAGCTAGAAACCTCACACAGGGGCCTTTCAGAGACATTCTGGATCCAAACTGCAGTGGCTGGATACACGTGTTTATGTGTTCTGGACTGTAACATAAAATACATTTGTATTCTCAATACTGTAAGCTTCGGGCCTAGAGCTCTCCTAACACCCGTCCTCAATCAGAATAGGCTAAGCCATCCTTGTCAAGAGGGACATTGTCCTATCAAACAAACACGCCTATGGCAAAAGCCAATCTCAAAGCCAAGAGCCACTGGCTAAACCCTGAGAAAAATTGCCTGGGATCTCCAAAACTGAACCTAATTTTTAAAAATGCCTAAGTTCCAAGTCAATTTAATTAATTCAATAGACTGCTTAGAACTAAGTAAGAAAATAACAATATTTTCAAAATATTTTTA